GCCTATATTATTCTTTTAACATGTTAGGTAGCCATATAGATGTACTATGTGGACAAATGGGAAAAAGGCTAAAATCCTAGTAGGCGGATGGTCACGACTCACGAGGTTAGACATAAACTGAAAGACACATCGCGAACCATACTGCTAGTTGTTAGAATAATGGTTCTCTTATGAATGTTAGTCAAAATGACAATATTTTTATAAAATCATTGATTTTACCAAATGCTTTATTAGTTTCAAAACTTAGTTATAATTTTCAATCCGTTGGTTAATTATGTGATCTTGACCTTGAAGTAACATTTTGCATTCATGGTTGTCATGTGTATGACCCACATACAAGACAACTTTTCAGAACTAGTTGCAAGATAGGGCATATGATTGAGCTCAATTATCTATATATTCCACATCATAAAATGGATACACCATCATTTCCAAATGATCACTTCATCTAAACCTTACTTTGTACTATTAAGTTAGAGTCTTTACAAATTACATACCAACAAATTTTGCAAACCTATGTTGCTACTAACATTTCTCCTCTCCATTTGGCATTCACAACTCAAACATATTTCAATTGATAAACTTCATCCTCTTATCTCTCATGGTTCATTAGAAATATGTTTTAAATGAATCTTTGTATTGTGTTTCATGTCAATCTACAAAACAACAAGTTTTATCATTTTCAAGCAGTCATTTTCTTTCTATTACTCCTTTTGATCTTGCGTATTTTGACATTTGGGATCTATCTCCTACATCCACCATGGGGGTTCTAAGTACTTTATATTATTTATTGATGATCATACTTGTTTTGCCTAGATATATTTTATGAAAAATGGCTCTAATGAAATTGAGCACAATTTTGCTAAGCAATAGCTTGCTTGCTTCTCGAGAAAGGATGGCAAACATGCTCAATATCATTTGATTGAATAGTTGACCTAGCTCCTTCTTGTTTGAAGAAACCCTCCACTTCAATTGGTATTTTTTTATGAAAAGCAAACATGAGATAAAAAATCTAGCCTTTCACTAAGATTTCAAATAACTGTCTCGAAAGCAAGTTGATTTTGTTTTGCCTCCTCTATTTCTATTTCTATTAACACACTAAAAGGATTATACGATATCTCTGGTGTGAACGTCAGCCAACATTTACATCGGCAAATCAAAGCTTTCCAAGTCCATGCTCAAGTCCTTATTACTTCTTGGGTTGTAATTAATTGCTATCTTATCAAGTTCCGTCATTATCGCAACTTGGAATCCACAAACCATTCCAGCCAAGGTCGAAATTTCTTTGAATATATGTTTTTGAATTCATTCGAGACGTGAGCCAAACTCAGATTGGAGAAGAATATGGTCCATGCATAAAAAATACTTTTTTTTAGTCTTTCTATCAATTAATTCATTAAGTATGTCGATATATACACATTTTTAGTCTTTAAACTTTTAAATTGAGAGATAAAAATAGTGAAAATTCTTAAAATTAGGGGACTAAAAATATGTATATATAGATAATTTTAGCAGATTAATTGATAGAAGACTAAAAAAAGTACATGTTTCATAATTAATGGAACAATAAAAAGTATAAAAAATTAAGAAACCAAAATTACGCAAAATCTTAAATTTAAGAGAATCAATTTGCATTTAACCTAACGGAATTTATTTCCCAGTTATGAGACCTTTTTTCAGGAGGATGCAAAAGAGTAGTTTCCCCTTTCCTTCGCACACGTACGGTTTATGTAGAAAATGATTAGTAGTTCTGGTATTTTTTTTTTTAATCTAATGGTGAATTATATAAAAGAAAATAATTCTTTATTTTTAAAAAAAAATTTTAATTATCATTCAAATGTTATTTAAAATTACATAAAAAATAAACAAATTATATTTTAAAAGGAAAGGGAGTAACCAAAGAAGTATCTTAACTATCATGATAATGCATGCTAAAACTTGGGAAAAAAATTTTTTGATTAGTGACGGAAAGTCTCACTCACAATTCTTTATTAAGATTAAAGTAACATACATTTTTGCTAACAAATAAAACCCACCTGCATCATTCACTAAACACAGCAGCTTTTATATATTTTAAGACTAATTTCTTCTATTAATCTTTAAAAACACTTTATATTGACTTGTTACATTTATGAGAATTAATTTTCTTAAATGTTGATTTCAAAATTTAAATTATTAATCTAATTCATAAAATAACAGTTAATTATTATTAAATTTAATTTAACTTGGCTGGATTCCAAACAGAGTCTTGTTATTAGTATTTACATGATTGAGCAGTCTTGTTGAGTTTCTCCACAACCGCTTCCATGCACGCACCAGCTGTCGCAAACGAGTCTCCCATAACACAGAACGCATTGGACCTGCCCGCCACAGGAACATGGGCCCCAAGGCCTTCCGCTACAGCATTTACAATAACACAGAACGCATTGGAATTGCCCGCCACAGGAACATGGGCCCCTAGGCCTTCCGCTACAGCATTTACAATAAATAGACCCCTGGACTTGTACATCTACAGATACTTTCACAGGCTTTGGCTTAGGCTCAGGCTCAGGCTCAGGCTTAGGAGGAGGCGGAGGCCTAGGCTTAGGCGGAGGCGGAGGCGGAGGCTTAGGCGGAGGCGGCTTTACGATCTCAATGCTCTTGATGCATCTACCACCCTTGCAGCATAACTTGTCCCTGATATTCTCCAGCGAGCTGCTCACCACCTTAATTGTCACCTTGTTTGCTTTCTCATCATACGTCTGATCTCGTATTTCTTTAATTAATTTGTTCACAACACAACGACTCAGTCCGTTACGCTGATCAATTTATTCACATACGTATGGAAATTATATTAACAAAATTGGAGAAAGAGACTCACCAGGAAATTTGCAGAGAAGTTTCTTGACCCTCTTGTAGCATTTTGAGCACTGTAAATCCACATTTAGCACCATTGTTGTCACCTGTAAAAGCAAGAATATATATATATATATATTAGAAGAGAAGGAAGCTTCCATAAATGGATTATGTGGAAGAAGAAGATTCAGGTTCTGACATAGAAGAAAGGGCAGATAAAGTGAGCAAAATTAATCAGGTAGCTATGCTGATGCGTCAACGAAAATACAAAAACCTATCCTTATCCCAAAAAGAAAAAAGAAATGGGGTATTTAATTGGCACAAACCTTCTCCTCGGCCATTGCTGCTCAACGGAGCACTAGCTGGAAGCCAACCAGAGATGTAGAGAATTAAGAAAGAATGAAATGGGGGTATTTAATGAGCACAGATCTTCTTAAGGGTCTGGTTTTCCGTACACATTACAATGGTCAATGTTCGTTTTCCAAATAACACCGAATTCAGCGCTATCAGTAGTTGAAGTGGCTTTGTCTTACGGTTAAAAAAAGTTTTAAACTCGGGGTCAGAGTTCCAACATGTTAATGTGCTGGCTCTAGTACATAAGTACATTAAACAAAGATGGAAATTAATGGCTGGGTCTCCATTCTCCAATCAAGCAAATCCTTTACTTCTGCACGTGCTGGCTCTAATTATTCCTTGGACTTATTTTCGGTATGTTTATGGTATAGATTAAAAATATATTAAATATAT